AGGCTGCCATGGCGCTGAACGGGGCAGAGGGCTGGAGCCCGTGCCCGGGGTAGAGGGACGGGCTGGAGCTAGGCCAGTAGGAGAAGCCGGCCGGCGTCACCCCTGAGGTCATGAGGTTGAGTTTGGAGATGCCCGAGAAGGGTAGTGGGGCCAGGTTGCCCTGAAATTTGTAGAGGGTGTGATCGGGGGCGGCCGGCTGGCACACCTGCGCCAGCCCGTGGAAGTCGAACTTGTAGGCGTAGCGCTTGCCGTGGACCTTGGTCATGATGTTCTTGTCGTAGTAGTAGCGCAGCGCCCGGCTCAGCTTGTCGTAATTCATGTTGGGTTTGCTCTTCCGCTCGCCCCAGCGCCGTGCCACCTCGTCGGGGTCGATCAGCTTGAACTCCCCGTTCGTGCCTTCCCAGGCAATGCAGTTCAGGTTGGCCCGGTCCGAAAGCAGCTCCAGCAGGAACTGCCACAGCTGGATCTGCCCGCTGCCTGCAAGGCCGGGCCCCAGAGACGTTAAAGCTCCCTCTCAGGACACAAGGAGCAGGGCAGGATGTGCCCAGGTCTCCTCGACCCCCCGCTGTGTTGCCCCCTCCTGGACCCAGGTTTCAGATACACCTCATTGCATCTTCCCTGCTTTAGAGACATAGAAGATGGTAACAAGGTCGTGTCTCCTTCGCAGCATCCCTACCCCATCCTGCCCCCCAAGCCAGAGGAGAAGAGGCTGCCCCTGCACCTCGGGACAGGGGTAGGAGTGCTCAGAGGTCAATGCAGGCTGCAGCGGGTCTGGATCCAGGCTCCCCACAGCCCTCCCACCCTCATTCACACCCCACTGAAGATGAATACCTGCTGATTTGCTTTGGTGTGAGGATCTGGTCTGGCTCTTTGATCCGCAGCCCCAAGAAGGAGTTATCTTGACAGTACCCAGATCTATCCCAGCACCAATATTCCCCACTACCACCTCTGCTTGAAACTGGGCTGGTGTCACAGCACAGCCCCTGCCCATCTCTAGGGGCACTGTGCCCTGCAAGGATGTCTCCATGGTGAGCTGAAGTTGGGGTGCAACACTGCTCTGACCTGCACCCCTGGCAGGCACAGGCAGGTATAGGGGAAGGAGAGACCAGGGCAGGACCTGCTGTGGCTTTGAATCAGGCACCAGAGCTCCTTATTTCCAGAGGAAAACTGTCCTTTCTGAGCCATGGCCATTGCACCCACAGCTTGCACTGACGAGCACCTTTGGTGGGTGCCTGAGGTGCCCCCCATGCCAGGCTGTGCACACACAAGAGCCTGGCACACCTGGACATGCCCATGGGGAGGCACAAGGATGGGCTCCATTGAGTCTGGCCAGAGGTCACGAGAGGAGAGGGTCCCTGGACCTTAGGGTGATGAGCAGTCCCACCCTTGGGACCCAGCCACCCTGCAGAGCAGCCCTGCACTTACCTAGACTCCCCCTCTCCCCCATGCTCCCTCCCCAGTAGCACCCCCTGCACATCCCTGCTCCCGACCCTCGCCCTTGCAGAACAGGCTCTTCCCATAGCAGAGGAAGCGTCTGCATTTCATCCTCCTCCCTGTGCTTTTCTGCCACTATTTTGTCTAAAGGTGCTTGGATCCCACGTAGAGGTTTAGCACCCACGACCCCTGCAGCAGGCAGTCCCACAGCTCAGTGATGTTTCCCACAAAGAACCCCCTTGTCCTGCTTGCTTCGCACCCACCTATTTTATCTGGTGCCCCCCCAGTTCTCGCTCTGGCAGAAGCAGGGAACAGCCGTTCCCCATCCATCCCCATTCCACCAAACCTTGCTCAGACATCCTGATCCAGGCAGACAAGCCCAGGTCTTTCCAAGGTATTGCATTGTATTTCCAAATCCAGGGACCAAGGTGGGGGATCTCTCCTCTCTAGGGTACATCCACAGCCCTCGCCTCTTCTGCATCCCCGCAGCTCCCACCCTGGGCTGCTGCCATCCCCCACCCACAGGGTTCCCCACCCCATGCAACGAGGGCAGGGAGGTGTTGGGGGGTGCAGCTGGGTGGGGTGGCAAGGTTCAATCCTGCCTGCCGCAGGGTGCTATGCCGCAGTGCCTGGCAGCTCCCTGAGGAAACCTCCAGGAATCCAAAAAGGTCCTTTTCAGCGCAGCGCAGCGCGCAGAGGACGGCTGGGGCAGAGTCCACAGTACAGTGGCAAAAGGCCCCCCCCCGGTCCCAGCTTTGTCCCCCCTAACATCCCTTAAACCAGGACTCCTGCTCAGAGCACTCCCTGATCCCTGTCTCCTCGCCAGGTGGGCAAGCTACATGGCCCAAACGCCACAGTG